TCCAGGATCAACTGGTAGTTGTAGTGACTGGAGAAACTACAGGTAGGGTTGGAAAGTATGAATTTGGGAGAGCAGTTCATAGAATCATAGGTCTGGAAGGGACCTCCATAGATCATCTAGTCCAGCCCGCTGCCTGAGGCAGGATCATACCTATCTAAACCATCCGATGCAAATCTATAATCTAATCTCTTAGTAAAACTGCCACCACCTCGACACAACACAAGGAATAACAAGAAATAACACAAGAAATAACCTGCCACAGGTAAAGCAGGCAGTCTACCCTAGGCAGTCTATCCCACAGCCTCACTGTTCTAGGAGAGCAAAAGAGAAAAGGTATTCTTACTCATTATGGGAAAGACAAGCAAACATGGAATACAAGAGTGTAATATTTATAGCAGGGTTGGGCAATTATTTGGGCTGAAAGGCCACTTGATTTTTGTGAGCTGTTGTGAGTCAGGTCAGCATCCCCCCCACTCCCCAGCCCCTGCCACACTGAGCCAGGTTGGCACACCCCATCACCCCCACTCACAGCTACTCACCAAAACTCTCTAAGGGGCTCTGCCCTGGGACCCAGCCCTGTGCTATTACCACCCAGTGACCCTAGCCCTGAGGTCTCCACAGAGCTGCAGGCAGGTGGGGAATGGTAACAGGGAGTGGGATGGGCAGGTGGGGTCGGGGCTGGGATCTTGGGGTGGTGACAGTGCAGGACCTAGGGCAGGGTCACAATCTGCTACCACCATGCCCCTGCCCATGGAACTGGTGCCCATCACAGGGACATGTGCAAAGCAGTTTGTGGCTCTGCTTTGGGCCCTGGCCCCATGCTGTCAGTGCCCCAAGATCCTGGCCTTGGTCCTGCCCTCCTGTCCTGCTCCCAGATGCTACTCCCTGCCTGCCTGTAGCCTTATCCCATCTGCCTGTGTGAACATGCCCTGCCTGCATGGGTCCTAGGCTGGTCTCCTTGGAGACTCCATCCACCTGCCAGCTCTGTCCAGTGTTCCTGCCAGTGGGGGCATGGGGGTGGTAGAGTGGGGGTGCCTAGACAGTGGGGCCTGGTCCAACAGCAGCTGCGACACTGGTGGTGGCAGCCGGAAGCAGCTGCTGCCACTGGGGGGGCAGGGGAGGGGAGGCTAGCTGCTATACTGCCCCAGCCCCGCTGGGAGAGCGGAAGGCAGCTCCTGCCACTGGGGGTGCAGGGAAGTGGAGTCTAGCTGCTATACTGCCCCAGCCCTGCTGCATTTCCAGAGGCAACAGGATTGGCCAAATGCTCCGTGGTCTGGGCTGCCCCCCTCACCTGGGCCAGGCAGGGCTGAGGGACCTGTCATAGGCTGGATAAAACCCCCTGGTGGACTGGATCTGGCCTGTGGGCCGTATTTTTTCCAGCCATGATTTATAGCACTATTTCTTTAATTGAAATGACACATCAGAGGCTGCAGTAGAAAAATGGGAGTTAAGCTAGAATTTCCAAAGTAAAATAGAGAGGCAGTTAGCTATGTTGGTCTGAAATCAGGAAGAAGAAAACAAAGAACATAGGACCTTATTACACCTTACACTGTGAGCCACATAAATGTTGATCAGTGTTTGTGCTAGCTCCAGTTTGGAGCAGTCGCACTTCAGGTTACCAGGGACTTGGAGGCCTGAAATGTAAGACTCCTCCCCTCCCATTCCAGGCTTCCCCCCTGCACCCTACTGCCTGGCGCACTCCCCACTTTCCTTCACCCATGGGCAGCGTTCCCTCTAAACTGTGTGGTGTTGTGTGGCCGTGCAGGTGCACTCATGGCACATTGCCAGGCACGCCACACAGCTTAGAGGAAACACTGCCCCTGGGGCTCCTTCCCTTCCCCCCAAAGCTCCCCCCCTACCTGCTTACTTATGCCTGCCCACACTGTCTGTTCCAAGGGAGCAGGCAGGGAATGGTTAACCTGCCTATCTGGCCCTCACTGCTGCCACTACCCAAGCCCAGAGCGCAGCAGTGATAGTGGCAACCAAGCAGGTAGGTTAACCCTTCCCTGACTGCCCCTAGGGGTGGACAGACATTGCACGCAACCATAAGTAAGCCAGGGGTGGGGAAGGGCAATGAGCAGGGATCTGGAGTGCTGGTAAGTCCAGTGGTGGGGGCAGGGAGGGGCAGTGAGCCTGATCCAGGCAAGAGGGGGAGGGAGGGTGGTTGGAGTGTTTACTATTAGGTGTAGCCCAGAGTGACTACACCTTAGTGTAAGATGAGCTGGGTAACAGGGATTAGAGATAATCCTTCCCTGCAGTGGCCTAACTTTGAGTAGCATAAGGAGTGCTTAAAACTAGTTTTAGGTGTTACTGTGTGAACAAGCCAGGCATTAATTGCTCCAGGAGCCACCCAAAATCACGATAAAACAAGGCCTATAGCTGAGGTTTGCAGAACAGTATTAAAATGAAGTTGGCAAGGGTCAAAGAACAGTAATGATCAAGGCATTAAAAATATAATAACAGAAGGAAGAAGCCTTTCAAACTCCCTCCTCACTTCTGTCTTAGGTACTTTATTAGGACTTCCCCATCTTTACAAAGGGAGGAGGGAGGTCCCGGGCAACTATAGGCCCGTCAGTCTTACCTCAATCCTGGGGAAACTCTTTGGGAAGATCATCAAGGAGCACATCTGTGATGGGCCGGCATCGGGGATGATGCTCAAGGGCAACCAGCACGGTTTCATTAGGGGCAGGTCATGTCAGACGAACCTGATTGCCTTTTATGATCAGGTCACAAAAGCATTGGATGCAGGTGTCGCCGTGGATGTAGTCTTTCTGGACGTCAGCAAGGCCTTTGACACTGTCGACCACCCCATCCTCATTAATAAACTAGGCGACAGTGGCATCGATGCCTACACAGTCAGATAGATTGCTAATTGGCTGAAGGGTCGTACTCAGAGGGTGGTGGTGGATGGGTCATATTTGACCTGGGGGGGAAGTGGGCAGCGGAGTCCCCCAGGACTTGGTCCTTGGGCCTGTGCTGTTCAATTTCTTTATCAGTGATTTGGATGATGGGGTGAAAAGCAACCTGTTCAAATTTGCTGATGATACCAAAATTGGGGTGAGGTGGGCACGTTAGCAGGGAGGGAAAGACTGCAGAAAGACCTGGATAGGTTGCAGGGGTGGGCTAACAAAAGAAGGATGCATTTCAATACTGACAAGTGCAGGGTGCTGCACTTGGGCAGTAGTAACTGGCAGCACACTTATAAGATGGAAAACTCCCTTCTTGAGAGCACGGAGGCAGAAAGGGATCTTGGAGTCATCATTGACTCCAAGATGAACATGGGCCGACAATGCGAGGTCACGGTCGGCAGGGCTAACCAGACCTTATTGTGCATCCACAGGTACATCTCAAGTAGGTCCAAGGAGGTAATCCTCCCCCTCTACGCGACACTGGAGTACAGCTGGAGTACTGTGTCCAGTTCTGGGCATCCCACTTCAAGAGGGATGTGGACAACATTGAGAGGGTCCAGATGAGGGCCACCCACATGATCCAGGGACAGCAGGGCAGACCCTACAATGAGAGGCTACGAGACACGAACCTGTTCAGCCTTCACGAGAGAAGGCTGAGGGGGGACCTGGTGACCATCTATAAACTCACTAGGGGGGGACCAGAAGGGTTTGGGGGAGACCTTGTTTCCCCTAGCACCCCCCAGGATAACAAGGAATAATGGCCACAAGTTGTTGGAGAGTAGCTTTAGATTAGACATCCGTAAGAACTACTTCACAGTTAGGGCGGCTAGGATCTGGAACCAACTTCCAAGGGAAGTGGTGCTGGCTCCTACCCTCGGGGTCTTTAAGAAGCGGCTTGATGCCTACCTGACTGGGGTCATTTGAGCCCAGTCTTCTTCCTGCCCAGGCAGGGGGTCGGACCTGAAGATCTACAAGGTCCCTTCCGACCCTACTTCTATGATTCTATGATTCTATGACTCTATCTTACAAACCATTTCCTGTAGTTAGATTAATCATGGCACTATACGCAATAATAAAGTACAGGAGTGAGCCGTGAAATAATAAAAAAAAAAAGAATAATAAAAAATTAAAATGTAAAACATATTGTGGCAATGTATACACATATAATAATAATAATAATAATAATAAAACATTCATGTCCTAGATCATTCTCTCATTCAAATTTTTCTTTTTTTTCTCATTGACACTTTAAAAAATGTATTTTCTCTCTTTTTAGTTTATAATTGTGGTTTACCACTCTTTTATTCAACTCCCCATGAGAAAACCAGAGAGACAGTGATTTCTTCAGGGTTCCAGCCTCTTTTTAAAACTTACATTATCTAATCAGGAGATGGGGAACAATACTGTCTATCTTACATGACTACCCTGCAAGCCAAATTAAAATTCGTGGTAGATATTATTTAACCTAGTGGATGACAACATTTTTTATATCAGGACCCATTTGTAAACATTAATGGCCAGTGCTGACCCAGTGCCCCTCACTCCGGATCTACTGCTCCCCACACCCAGGCTCCAGCCCCCAGCCCCCATGTGTGGGGAAGAGGGTGGGTGTGAGGGGCAGGGGGGAGGTATTTGTGGGCAATGAGGGGCCCCAAGCAGCCCCTTGAAGGCTGGAACTCTGCCAGCCTGCAAGGGAAAAGCCAGTTTCCACATCTTTCTACTTTAAAGGAGAATTCATTTTTAACATTTGTTTGCAACCCTTCCATATATTCTTGCAATACACTTTTGGGTTGTGACCCATGGGTTGAGAAATGATGATTTAAATGTCATTTTCTTTAATAAATTACTTATGGATTGTTTGGAAACAATCAGTTTTTTTTATAATATTTCACCCTATTCCTGACTATAAATGAAGCAAAAAGGGGCTAAATTTGCCAAACAAAATATTGTTTATAAATAATTTCTTACAGTTCTTATTAAACATCAACACTAGTCTATAAGCTGTATGAAAAAGCTTTGTAGCTTGATTTTCTGTTGCTGCTGTTCAAGTAGGAGTATATACTATCTGAGTGTTTTCATTCTTTCTTACAGGTGCCACCCATACTTCTGGATAAGCAGTTCTCGGAATTCACACCAGACATTACACCCATTATTCTGGCTGCTCACACAAACAATTATGAGATCATAAAACTTCTTGTACAGAAAGGGGTTTCTGTACCCAGACCACACGAAGTCCGCTGCAACTGTGTTGAATGTGTGTCAAGCTCAGATGTGGACAGCCTACGCCATTCTCGATCCAGACTCAACATCTACAAGGCTCTTGCAAGCCCATCTTTGATTGCATTGTCTAGTGAGGACCCTTTTCTTACAGCATTTCAACTAAGTTGGGAGCTTCAGGAATTGAGCAAGGTAGAAAATGAGTTTAAATCAGAATATGAAGAACTGTCACGGCAGTGTAAGCAATTTGCAAAAGATCTCTTGGATCAGACACGGAGTTCCAGGGAATTGGAAATTATTCTTAATTACAGGGATGATAATAGCTTGATAGAAGAACAGAGTGGTAATGATCTTGCAAGACTGAAACTGGCAATTAAGTACCGTCAAAAAGAGGTGAGTGTGCTGGAGAATATTTAAACTTATTTAATAGCAGTAATCTGATGGATAATAGTCTGGAATGTGTCCTTTTAAGTGAGACAAATTGCTGCTTACCTTTTTTGTTCTACTGGGTCTCTCTTTTCCTCCCTTTAATTAGACATATTTAAGAAGTTGTTAAGATTTAATAACACTACAATCTAAAATATGCTATTATATCATAGCTCCAGGAAGATTACCATTTTTGTACCTCAACAGACATTGTCACTAACACAGCATTGAAGCTCTTCTTTGGTGTTTGGATCAAAATTGAAAACAATTCCTCAAAATTTTCTGCACAGACATCCCCTCTGGACTGAAAATTGCAGGCATATGACTGCACTGGCTCAGGCTAGAAGCCGGGGGTGCTAGAGTAGCCTTCCCTTCCCCTTTCTAGTGCTGAGCTGATGGGGGCATGTCCAGGCCCCAGCAGGATGCTCTGATTAGGGAGGGATTTGCCCCCACCCCCTCACTGGTCAGCGAGGGAGCCAGCAGGGATTTACATAGCATTTAGTTACACAGCAGGGAGTTACATAGCATTTATCAACCCATCGGCAAAACAAAAGGGTCTCTCATTAGTTCAAACTCTTCTTAAACAACTTTTTCTAAGGAAGGAACATAGGGACATTACCAGCTACCTGTTGATTAACTCCAAAGAGCCCTAAGCCAACAAGGTCCTGTCTGCCTTTGTCCTGTCTCCCACATCACAGACCATAGCCAGCATGTGGTACGCTAGCTAATGCCGAGAGATATCTGTGTAAGGCAGAGGGGAGGGAGGAATCCCTGCTTGAGTGGTGGTGGGATGGGAGCAGGAGGTAGCCAGGCAGACACCCTGTACCTGTAGTCTCTGCTGGAGCTGCAGCCAGGGAGCAGAGGGGAGGGGCCAGCCCTGCTGGGCTGGATCAGAGCCCCACCCAGCGTTGCAAAGCACCTAGAAATCTGGGGGACTCTGATTTAACTTAAACCAGGAAGGGGTCTGGGACAGACATTGCATAAACCGGTTTGACTCAATCAGTTAATCTGATACTACATTCAACCAGGTTTATCTCAAACCAGTTTCAGCCATTTTCAAACCAGTTTATGTATATTGAACATCTGTTCTGTCACAGGTTTAAACCAGTTTCTGATCACTTAAACCATTTTATGTCTAATATCTGTCCCTAGCCAAAATGCCTAGGCTTAGTCTCTGGTGGGATACACCAGAGAAATTGTTCCAGAGCACTGGAGCTACTATCCCAAAACCAGCCTCCCATGTGTTTTGCCAAGTGAACCTGGGGCATTAATGATACTTGCAAGAGGTTGGTTTTAGAGGACCTTTGGAATTAACATGGAACATAAGGCAGGTGTTTCCTTAGGTATGCAAGGACTAGACCATTTAGGGTTTTCTTGGTCAAAACCAGCACTTTGAATTGTGGCCTGAAAGTTATTGGGAGTCAATAACTGGAGGACTGGACTAATGTCTTAGTGTCTTTAAAATCTAAAAGGTTATCATGTGCTTTATTACAGCATAAGAACCTTGTTAGAGTATTCAAAGAGGAAAGCATGCTATTATGGCAAACATTAAAGTAATGCTGGTATCTTTCACATGGAGTTCTACTGGCATACACCAGGCTGGAATTTGGCCCTGGGAGTTTGTACTCTTTAATTTTTTACTAACGAGGCCCAGATATACACAGAAAGATGCACATTAATGTTTTACCTGATGCCAAATTCTGTCTACATTTTTCCCATTTCTTCTAATATTTCCTGATAGCCCCTGAAGTAGACTCTGGGTTCATAAGATTCCTTCATTATATTCCTTAATGTATTTGTCCATTACATGCTGGAACAAATAATGTCACCCGCAATGGACTTATTATTCTGTTTCTGACCATTGTGTTGGTCCACGAGATGGCACAGCATTGAATGAGGCCTAGGGGGTCATGGTTGACTTGTAAATGAACATGAGCCAAAAGTGTGATGAGGTTGCCAGAAGGGCAAATACAACTCTGGTGTGCATCAGCCGATGTCTGGCCAATAGATCCGGGGAGGTACTCCTCCCTCTCTGTTCAGCATTGGTGAGGCCTCAGTTGTAGTACTGTGTCCAGTTCTGGGCACTGCACTTCAAGAACAATATAGATACGCTTGAGAGGGTATAAAGATGGGCAACCCATATGGTTAAGGCCATGGAGGATAGGCCCTATGGGAGACTCTGGGAACTGGGCTTATTTAGTCTAAGTAGGAGAAGGCTGAGAGGTGACTTGATAGCCACCTACAAGTACATCAGGGGTGAACACCAATATCTAGGGGAGCATCTCTTTGGGAAGGCACCTCAAGAGAGGACAAGGACCAATGGGCATAAGCTAATAGAAAGTAAATTTAGGCTAGACATAAGAAAAAACTTTTTTCTCTGTAAGGGTCACCAGAATCTGGAACACACTCCCACCAGAGGTGGTACAGTCACCCTCCTTGGAGGTGTTCAAGAAGTGGCTGGAAGTGGAGAGGCACCTTGTTGAGCTCGTCTGAGCCCAATAACTTCCTGCACATGGCAGGAGACCAGATTTGATGATCTTACAGGTCCCTTCTGGTTCTATGATTCTATGATTGTAGTAATGGAAGATGCTGTGTTAGGTCCAGTTTTGGAAAGCCTAAAATAAATTAAATTGTCCCATAACAGCAAAGTAAGTTCTTGGTTTTCTCTGCTCCTGAGCAGACGTATGACAATGGAAAATATTTGAGAAGTTCCCTCTCTTTGTAAGCACACAGTGTAAGCATGCAGGACTCCTCTGGACAAATTCCAGCTGTGTGTTTCCAGAGACTGACAACAAATATAATGTATTTATTTGATTTATATCTCACCCTTCCCAGAGAGGCTTGTGAATCTGGGAATCTACAAGTCGTAGACACTTAATGTGCTGTCTCTTAGCACAGAAAGATGTTGGCTTCTTGCTCAAAGCTAGCATTTTGAATTGTGGCCTTAAAGTTTTTGGGAAGCAGTGCAGACTCCCATTCAGCCTGTTTATATTGGTGCTTAGAGAAAAGGGTCTAACCAAATCATATCTCTGTCTTCACTACTTTTGCAATTCATAATTCATATGATAGTAGAATTGAGATCCAAATATGTTAGCCTATAAATATACCATAAGAGACAGTCTTTGCCCTGAAGAGTCTCAAGTTTGGTTTAAGTCAAGGAGCCGTAATCAACCTAACAAAGAGAATCAGGGAAATGTACTGGGTAGTTACTTGACCAGTTAGCTATCCTTTAAGAGACAAATAAACAAGAACTGTTCTGGATAGTAATAATTTCTAAGCATATCTGTAGGTGATTTATCATGCACATCATATAGAAATGAGGCTTGAGAAGGATTTGAAGTGTGTCAGGATTGTGACTTTATGGTTTCACACCAGAGGGAGAGAAATAGACAAAGAGGTGAGGAAAAGTTCATTGTTGGCTGTGCTAAGAAGGGTGTACCAAAAAGACACAAAACAGCATAAGTATGGAGGGAAGAAGTGTCCCCCAATGAGAAAAGGCACTTTCACGGAATGAACATTGCAATGGATGTTAAAACACAATGGTGAAAACCAAAGTGGTGGTTTGCAAGCCACTGTTCGTACCTGTATACTGTCTTCTCTGAAGATAAATAATGAACATCCATTCTCTTTGCTGTCCTGCTCCATCCTTCCTGAGCATCAAACTCCCTCTGAACTTAAAAGACCTTCAGAAGTGTATGTAAATTGTATTAAAAACTCTGTGGTAAAAGGTGTTCATCTTCTCTTCTTGTCTGCCACAATACTGTAATCAGTTCACTCATCCTTTGTCAGAAAGTGTCTCGGCAAAATCTCTTTTCAGTACCTGGAATTGCCTCAGAAATAATCCTCTCTGTATTGCCAAGTGAACAGCCTAGTTAATAAAACCTGCCTGTTTTGTTTAATTAATAAATAAAAAAGTGAAGGGCATTTACACTTCCAAGATTACACTGCAGAATAGCTGCACCAGTTAGGGTGGGTATGAATGTAGGTGATTTGAATATCGGACTGCATTTTCAAAGTGCTTACCTGCAGTTTCATTTTAACCAAACTATGCAGGTAGGAACCCCCAAGGTGTATTTTTCCTCTGCTTTTTTCACAGCTGGTACTAACTGATTATAAGCAATGAGACTGCTTCTAGGTGTAGTGTAGCACTTGTCCCTTCCTTCCTCCGCTCAGCTCTTCCCAACACCTGCTGTTGCTAGGTTACAGTTAGCGACATGCATCAGAAATTCCCCAGTGCCCCGTAACTGCTCAGCATTGTGTAATGAACATTTCATTGTCTGCCTCGGTATTATATAATATCCCCTCTATGTAGGAAGCATTTATTTAAAATAGTTGAGAGGTTATTAGTCATTTACATTCTAACTGTGCCTCTTGATGGGCAACACCAAAAAGCTTCCTGTTTTCCTGAATCAAATGTAAATTTGACTATATTCAAATATGATTCCTTTCATGAATGCATTAGGGACTCCACAATTTAATGTATAATTTACAGACCAAAGCTTTTTCTATCAACAGTCCCTATAGTAAATCTGAATTAATGTAGATTATAAACTGCCCAGATTATGGGATATCAATAAATTAATTATAATGCATACTAAGGTCAGTCAGTTAGTTTTCTTTGCATTGACTGCAAAAAGCCCATTAGAGACCTGAAGTATATGTGTTTATGTACTGTGTTGGAAAAATAGTTACTTTTGTGTTACTTTTTTCACTGATTCTTGTTTATATGCTGTCACATTCTTAAAATGGGACTGTGAAAATGATGGGAAATATGGTAACCTTTGAGAAACTCTGTTATCTATCCAAACATTAGCCTATCTATAGAGTTTAAATGCCATGACATGTTCCTTTTGACAGTGCTAAATTCTATTACAGAATAATCCACCTTTCCGACCTCTTTACCCTGAGTCCATTTTACCAGTGCTCTACAGTATTGGTTAAGGTACCTACATGTTTATATTTTCAGA